GCTCGGGCGGGCGTATCGCTTTGATGAGTCTCCGACGGAGGAGGTGATGAAGGGCCTCTACCGTCGGGCCTTCTCGGCTGCCCAAGCCGATGCGGAGGCGCGCGGAGTGCTTCTGGAGGCGCCGACGGCTGTGCGGACGGCCGCAGGTCGAGACGTGGCGGTGCACGAGGTGCTCGGGGCCAACTTCTTTGGCGGCCGACGGATGACGGGCAAGAGACCTCCTTTGGGACTGGACCTCGGAGGAGACCGCGGAGGCCACGCTGGACCCGCAGCTGCGGCAGCGGAGGCCCTCGGCGACAGCGGCCCCCCGGGGCCTGCGGTTGAGGGCACCAGCACGCCGCGCTCGAGCGGCCGCGTCTGGCGAGCAGCCGAGGCCGACGAGCGCTGCCGCATCGCGCTCGGGGACGAACTGGGGCCTCCTGCTCATTCGCTCTGTGGCAAGGGGCTGTGCTTGGCGGCGCCCGGGCGAGCCGTGGTGGTGCATCTGACGGGGCTCGACCAGGACTCCTTTGTGATGAGCCTGCGCGGAGGCGAGGGCCATCCCTTCAGTGCTGGCGCTGAGAACGGAGGCGGAGGAGATGCTCGAACCTTGACGGTGAAGAGTGGGCCGCGGGGCCGGGGCCGTGAGTGGCGCGAGGTCGTGGATGCCTGCGAGGAGGAGCCCTTCAGTGACTTCCCAGTGGCGGGGCCTCGGTCCGCGTGGTGGTGCTTGGACTTCTTGCGGCGGCGGCGCACCCCCACGGATCATCATTTGATGTTCAAGACGACGGCGAGGCTCCAGTCGGAGCAGTGGGGGTCCAGGAGCACGAGCAGCTCATTAAGTACATCGGGCTGGCCGGCACGCATGACCAGCTGGACCTCAGCAACTGTGCCTTCGCCGAGGCGATCTTTCGGCGGGCGCAGACTATCGAGTGGAGCTACCACGATCGGTTGCGGGGGGCCGACTCGGCCAGCTCCAAGGACAAGATGAGTCCGGGGGAGTTCTCGGCCTTCAGCGGCTTCAGCAAGGCGGGGGACTTGCTGATGGTGGCCCCCGCGCTCCTCGAGTTCGTGAAAGGTCAGGTCGAGAAGGACGCCGCCATCATGAAGAACATCAGGAAGGCTCGAGAAGAACGAGAGCTCCGCCGCAAGGGTCCCAAGGGGGATGGCGGCGGAGGGAAGTCATGACGGCGACGCGGGAAGGAGGCCTGAGTGCGGCCGCCTCCTTCTCGAGCTTCAAGGCCGCCGAGCCCCGGGGCTCTCCTGCATGCGTACCTGGGCGAATTCAATTCGACGGAGTTCCAGGCCGTCGAGACCTTTTCCCTGTCCCATTGCTTCGGGGCGGCCTGGCTCCCGCGGAGGGCGTGGTGAACCGCTCGGTTCGGCGACGGCTGCTTCGGCGCGACGCCCGCGTGGCTGAGGCCAACCGCACCCTTGGGGCCCTCAATGATCTGGCTGGTCGGCCCGGGGCGCCTGGCGCCCCAGGCCTGGCGGAGCGGCTGCCCCATCGCTTGGTGCACGAGCGCGTTCGTCATGCTGCTGCTGCGCTGGGCCCCCCGCCACCTGGCCTCACTCCCGCAGGAGCCCTTCGTGAGCTCCGCGGTGCTGGCGTGTGCGAGGACATCGACTCGCCAGTCGTCAGCTTCGACGACTCCCTCGTCTCGCTGCCCGAGGCCGGCAACGTTCCTGTGCCGCTTGGGGAGCTGGTTGCAGGCGTGGGCGATCTCGATGTCGAGGCAGCAATGCACGAGCAGCTCCTTCCACGCAAGGATGCGGAGTCCAACCTCTCCGAGGCTCCGCGACAGCCGTACATGGATGCTATCCTACGAGCTCAGCCACGCGCCTATGCTGGGCTGGTGCGGCGCTTGCATACGGCAGGGATGGTGGCCTTCTCAGCCGCCCCGCGTGAGAGGTGCGGCCTCTTCTTCGTGCGTAAGAAGTCTGGCAAGCAGCGCATGGTGATAGACTGCCGACGGGCCAACTGCTGGTTCAAGAGGCCTTCGACAGTTGCGCTGGCGACAGGCTCTGCACTGGGAGAGCTGGCCGTGCCAGAGGGTGAGCAGCTCTACGTCGGCCACGTGGATATCTGCGACGCCTTCTACCACTTCGGCTTGCCTGAGGCTTTCCGTGATTACTTCGCGCTGCCGGCGGTGAAGGCAGGTGATGTGGGGCTGACTGTCCTGGGTGGAAGGTCCCTCGCGCCTGGCAGCCGTGTGTGGCCAGTCCTGGCGGTGTTGCCCATGGGCTGGTCGCATGCGCTGTAATGGTGCCGGACCATTCACCGCGGGATCGTGAGCTCCATCCCCGCGCTGCTCGACGTTCCGTTCATTTCGGACAAGAGTGTAGTGCCGCCGGTGCAGCCACTGGCGATGACTATTTACGTGGATAATTTTCTCGCCTTGGGCGCGGATCCCGAGGCCGTTCCCCGCGCAGTGAAGCTCGTCAACGCTGCCTTGACGTCGAGGGGGTTGCCCACCCATGAGGTCTGTATGTGTGATCATAATGCCGACATCCTGGGGTGGGAGATTCGAGGACGAGAGAGAGAGATTCGACCGAAGAGATCAAGGCTGTGGAGACTTCGTCTGGCGCTCGATTGTTTGACAAGCAAGGCCGTCGTGAGTCCAGAAGAAGTTGAGAGAGTGTTGGGCCATTGTGCTTTTGTTGCGCTTCTTTGTCGTGAGCATTTGTCGATCTTCTGGTCCGTCTATGTCTTTATTCGGCGGCTGGGCCACTGTGCCGCGGTCCCTCTCTGGGGGTCCGTCCGATGGGAGTTGAATGCGTTTTCGAGTTTGCTGTGTCTGATTTCCAGGAAGCTGCAGGTGTCATGGAGTTCTAAGGTGATGTGCACGGACGCGTCCTTTTGGGGCTTCGGACTGGTCTGCAAGGACCTCGACAAGGACCTCGTGGGCTCGATGGGCTGTTTCTCAGAACGGTGGCGTTTCTTGGGCGACAGCAAGGTGCTCTCCAGGGCTTGGGCTGCAGGCTCCAGTGAGGACGAGATCATGACGAAGCCCCTAGAGAGCTCCAAGGACTTCAGCAGTTCGTGGGGGATGAGGAGGCCAGCAAGGAGGCCCGCACGCGGGCCGCTGGACGTCTTCCCGAAGCGGTTCGTGAGGAAGGTTGGGCTGTAGTGGGCTCGCACAAGTGGGGATCTCCGCCTGACAACATTGTGGAGGGGGAGGCCAGGGCTATCGCGTTTGGGGTGAAGCACATCTGCAGATCCACGAAGGCCTTTGAGTGTCACCACCTCCTGCTATCCGACTCGCTATCGTCTGTCTTGGCTCTGGGCAAGGGCCGATCCTCGGCCCCCGGCGTCAGCGGCGCGCTGCGCTCCGTGGCAGCGCATGTCGCGGCGACGGGGCTCCGGCTCAGTGCCCGCTGGCTGCCTAGCGAGTGGAACTTCGCCGACGGTCCTTCGCGAGGGCTGCGGCACGCTGGATACGCTCGTGCTGGAGTCGGCCAGGCTGGAGCGCCGCCAGGCGGCTGCCCCGGCGGGAGAGGCCCGCTCGGTCCCGAGGACCCGCCCGGTGTTGCCGAGCCAGGCGACGTCAGCGCCGTCGCTTCGGAGGCTTCTCTGCGACGACCTGGCTGGCTCGCCACCGCTCTCCGAGGCGCGGGCACCGCCTGCGGCCGACAAGGTGAAGCGGGGGGAGCTGGCCCGGCGTGGAGCCAAGCTGGCCGAGGCGGGGACGCTGGACGTGCTTCGGCTGAGCACGGTGCGGACGCAGACAGTGAGGTCGAGGTTCCAGCAGCTGGCCGCCGAGTTCGACGAGTGGCTGGCGGAGCAAGGGTTACCTGCGCGGCCGACGTTCTCCCTCGACGAGCGGAGGATGATCCCGCTGGCGCCCCAGGCTGCCGCCGAGCTGGACTGCAGCCTTGCGGAGTGGATGTTGGGGCAGTACCTGGAGGGCGTCGATCACTGGCGCGGAGTGCAGATGCTGGCAGCCCTGCAGTGGAGCCACCCGCGGCTCGGCCGCGACGGCGGGGCTCGTCTGCCCGGGGCCAGGCAGTCGCTCCGGGGCTGGAAGGTACTGACGCCGCCGTTGACGAGGCTGCCGCTCCCCGAGGAGGTCGTTGCAGCCCTGGCTTGCGAGCTGGTGAGCATGGGCCTGTGGGAGGCGGCGGCATGCGTAGTCCTGTCGATGGTGTTCTACATGCGACCAGGCGAGTGGGGCCGCGTGCGAGTCAAGCACGCGATCGCGCCTCGCGCCTCGGGAAGCCAGGCCCTGCGACAGTGGGCCCTGGTGCTGCACCCACACGACGGCGAGGAGGCGCGGCCCAGCAAGACGGCCGAGTTCGACGAGAGTCTCGTGCAGGACCTCACCTGCGACCTGTGGCTGGGCGGCGTGCTGCGGAGACTGACCGCTGCGAAGCCGCCAGACGCCGCGCTGTTCAGCTTCTCGGTAGAGGGATTCGCCGAGATCTTCAGACGCGCGGCCCGCCGCCTCGGCCTAGAGCCCGCGCTGATGCCCTACCTTCTCAGGCACTCCGGCGCCAGCCGAGACTTCGTCAACGGGCTCAGGCCGTTGAGCGAGGTGAAACGGCGGGGTCGTTGGAAGACGGACGCCTCCGTGCGTAGGTACGAGAAAGGAGGAAGGCTGAGCGAGCAGTTTGCGAGGCTGGCCCCAGCCCTCCAGAAGCATGCGCTTCGCTGCCACAGCGTGCTCCCCGAGGTTCTCTTAGGGAGGCTCGCTGCCCCGCCGTTCCTGGCTCGCTAGCTGTGAGAGTTTTTCTAGAGATCTTCTCAGGCTCTGGTCGCCTCGCGCGAGCGATGGCGCGAAAAGGGTATCATGTGCTAGCGTGGGATATCAAGCGCGGCCCTTTGTTTGATCTGCGTGACGTTTCGAGGCAACGTCTGATTCGAGGCTGGATCCAAGCCGGGCTCATTTTAGGTGTGCATCTTGGAACGCCGTGTAGCAGTTGGTCGCGCGCCAGAGATATCCAGCCGGGTCCTCCCCGTCTCCGCTCCGACACGTGTGTCCTAGGCCTGCCCGACTTAATGCCGTCGGCGCAAGCCGCAGTAGACTTTGGAAATCAGATGATGCGCTTCAGTGTTTCAGTTCTAACGGTCGCCCGCCGCATGCAGGTGCCGTGTTCGACGGAGAACCCTTCAACCTCTCGACTGTGGCTCGCGCCGCCAGTCGCCTCGCTTGTCAGATCCACGCGTTGGTCATTCGTCAGCGCAGACTTTTGTCAGTGGGGAACCCCTTGGCGGAAGCGCACCAGCTTTTTAGGTACTTACATTGATTTGACCCCCTTGGTGAAGCTGTGTGAGCGCACTCAAGGCTGCTGCAGTCGAACTGGACAGCCCCACCAAGTCCTGGAGGGGCGTGCGCCCGATCGACGGTTCTGGACCGCCGTCGCCGAGGCCTATCCTTCTCGCCTGTGTCAGCAGTTGGCCCGCGCTTTCGATGATGCTATCGTGTGCCGTAAAGTCTCAGCCATGGCTTCGAAAATGTCAATGTAACCTTTAGTAGGTGAATGAAGACGGCCTTAGGGCCATTCGACTTCGTGTATTTGGCACTGTCCCTTTTGGCGTGTGCTAACCTCGAGGTGCAGGCTTCTGTCGCACGCGTCGCTGGTGGCGAGCTCTCTTCCAGAAAAAGTCGGCGTGCCTTGATGATCGAGGCGCTCCGCGCATGGCAGGTCCAGACAGCTGGGGATACAGTTCAGTGTTCCACACGCTTTTTAATCCCTAGTTGTCGCTTCTCTGCCGTCCATCCATGGCTGTTTGCTCAAAGTCTCCCTCCCTCCCACTTTTTTTTTCTACCAAATATTCTGTCCGCAATTCCTGGCCAGCTGTGGCGTGTGCTGGCGTGTGCTAACCTCGAGGTGCAGGCTTCTGTCGCACGCGTCGCTGGTGGCGAGCTCTCTTCCAGAAAAAGTCGGCGTGCCTTGATGATCGAGGCGCTCCGCGCATGGCAGGTCCAGACAGCTGGGGATACATATGTATATACATTGCTACGGCTTCGTAGGGGAAAGAACCGGCCGTTCATAACACACTGTTCTCTGCATACAGGGCCTGAGTACCACCCCGCTGTTGCGGTGCAGTCAATGTGGTGCAATCGATGTGGCTCACTATGTGGACCACTATTGCTAGTTGAACATATGTGTGCGTCCTGGAACGCGAGCTGGCGACGAGGCGGCGACGGGCGGGCACTGTGCGAACACCCGAAACCTCCAGCCAGCGCGCGAGGCCTTCGACGAGTCGGGTGCTAGGCGAAGGGCAGGAACTGCATGCCAGCGCAGAGCGAGACGGCGACGGGCTGGCACCGAGCGCAAGCCCGTAACCGCAGGCCAGCGCACGGGGCGGCGATGAGGCGGCGATTAGCGGGCACCTGGCGACAGCCCGGAACCGCCAGCCAGCGTACGAGGCGGCGATGAGGCCGTGATGGGCGGGCGCTGGGCGAAAAATTGGAACCGCCAGCCGGCGCGCGAGGCGGCGCCGGGCGGTCGCCAGGCGAACTCCTGGAGACGCACGTCATTTTTATCAGAGCGCTGCTAGGAACCAGTTGAGTGGAAGCATCGCTTGGGAAATGAGTACGTACCAGCCCCGTGTTGATTACTGGACTGGATGAGTCGAACATAACGTAGAGGGTCAGGAGGACGACCACGGGGAGGCGAGCAGCGAGGTGCAGAAGGCCATTTCGATCAGGCGGGTGGGACGACATGGTATGGTCGTATGGTCTATGACGACGGACTACGAGGCGAATAGCTTTAGCTGGGCGATCCCCCTGTACGTAATGTGGACGAAACGGCGGATGAAGCCCTGGACAAGAAGCACAGAGGGAGCGCAGAGAGGTCATTGCTACTGCTGTTCCTTTCGAGAAATCCGAGGATCCATCGCGGCGCCTTCGATCGCAAAGGTGCCCTTGGCCGAGGCGCTGGCAACAGCGAAGACCAAGGTGACATTCCTCGAGGCTGGCCACCTGCGGTGGTTTGAAGTATGGTGGAATGTGCTGAATGAGTCAGAGAAGGAGGAGCAGGAGGAGGTTGATGTGATAACGAAGATTCTGGGCAGACCTCATCGAACGCAGCCTTGGCAAGAGGAGGGAGAAGAAGGTTGGAGGTGAGTGCGATGATTCTAAGCAGACTTTATATCTCTTCTCGATTACCAAGTGAAGACATCGAGGACATGTCCAACGCTTCCGCTTTCTCGACGCTAATTGGGAAAGGGGAGCAGGAGTATGATGATGATGATGATGATGATGAGGAGGAGGAAATGAACGAGGAAGAGTAGGAAGATTTGAACTGAGGCATGTCGAAGGATACATCATATGGACAGAGGAGAGAATGACAAGGGAGGGGCTCAGGAGGAAAGGGGGCAGGGACGGGAAGGAGGAGGAGGACGAGAGAGTAGGAGAGATGATGTCAGAAGAGAGAATGTAAGTAGAAAGGTCCTGAGGAAGGGGAGTGGAGGGAGAGAGGGGGAGGAGACGAAGGGGAAACATGAGAGGGAGGAGGAAGAGGAGACAGTTGGAACGTGCAGCGAGGATGGATATATGAAAAGAGTACGGTGACGATGAGGGTGAGGACGAGATAGGCGCGAGCAGACATGGATGGCCATTCTTGCCACGGTGACCGCAACCGTTGTCGCTGTCCTGCGCGCATGCAGAAGGGACGGGGCAGGGGGGAGGGGAGGGAGGGACAGCTCCATGGGGCACATGGCCGAGACGGGGCATCTTGTGATCACGCCGCTCGGAGAGGTTGACACGCTGAAGGGTCTGCCGGTGAACCCGTCCGTGTCCACCAAGACCATTGATCCTTATTTGGCTTCGTACGTCAGGACGGGAATTTTGAAGGGCTCCGAGGGTTCCATTGTACCTCGCCTGGGAGGTCGGTGGTCGCGATGTGTGTCGCGCACAGTTGTTATCGACACCGCCGACCAGCATCGTCCCGTGTGCATGCTTGCGACTTGTGACCCACGCGGCTGCATGCATCTGATTTGCCACCTCCTCCCGTTCGGTAGCAGACCTTTTGAGCCACCTTGGGAAATATACGGGGCAGTAGCATTGGATCGCTGCGGGCACGTAATGGAAACTTCTAGGAACACGCGTTCTTGCTGGGCCCGGAAGGCTTTGGGCGGGGAGGGGAGCTCAGGGATTGCATACGGAGGCAAGGAGGGCGAGTTGGGAGGACCAGCGGAGAAGGCGTTCGGGGCACATACTTTGGTAGCCTGTCCGTCCTAGAGTGGTTCTCGTCCAAGTAATGTGTGCCATGCTGCTTGTGGACGGGAGATCACTTTCAGCCAGGCCCCTCGCCAGCGCGCTAGTTGCTAGCTTTGTCAGGCCCCTCGCCAACCCGTATTTGCCTTCCTCTGTCCAACCCTTCCTTGCCATCTCTCATTTTCTGGATTCTTCCCTGGGCATCGCGCTCCGCATGAACCCAATTTTCTCCTCGAGCTTTGGCTTGTGCACTCAGTGTTGCTTCCTGTGAGCCCAGTTGCTCAATGCGAAACACGCCAGTAATCATCTATAGTGGGCCGTGGCTCCTGGCTGTTTCTCAAGAGTACATCGCGTTGGGGGAGAATGGTGGCGGGAGGGCGAGATGAGCGAGAGGAGTCTGCATCCCAGGGGGTAATTCCGTAGAAATCTCCAGAGCTGCTCAGCCAGGAGAGTCAAACCATTGCTCGCAGCGACATGCACGCGGCCTTCTTTGGCGCGAAGTGAGGTGCCGTGAGAGAGCTCGCCCACCGCCAAGGGGCTCTCCGTGGATTTCCCCTATCCTGTACTCTGTCCCCTTTCGCCAATTGGTTTGCATCGAGCATCAACTAATCTTGCTCTACGATGCACGCTGCATTCAGACCCACTGTTGCACTGTCCAAAAACCACGAACTGTCCGCTGCGGTAGCACATGAACGAATATTGTTGCGCCCGTCACCCTCACGGGCACAGCTGATCTTGTTCGATTGGTCTGTTCAGCGAGGTCTACCGCACTATCAAGTCGAGGTTCGAAGGTCGAGCTTTCGCAAGAAGAGGAGCGGAAGCAGGTTTGGCTGCCGCCTGGCCTTGGCTTGCACCCCCCCGCCTTCAAGGCCAGAAGCTGCAGCTGGCTGGCGCGGGGGCTCAGGACGACCCCCTAGCCTAGCCTTAGAGAGGTGCCCTCATGTTCCGTGTGCTGGGGCTCTCCACCCTGGAGCGCTCCTCGTTAGGGGTATCCCCACTGGGCTTTGCAATTTCGGTGAATCGGCGACGGGAATCACGTTCTCGACCCGCGCTCATTGATAGGTAACAAATCATGGGAGCCAAGTGTACCCTCGTGATTCCTTTTTTCTGGTGCACTAGCGTCGGGTAATCAGTGGGATAGCCCCGATTGAACGTCGATGATCGTCGATGAGCGTCGACTAGCCTCGATTTAGCGTTGATGAGCGTCGATTCGTCAGAGCCGACAAGACAGCACAGGGGAGGCTTCCATGAGTTGCCACCCAAACGTTCTCGACACACGCTCTTGTGGCCATGCTCTGCCCGCCCCTCCCACGACCCAAGCTTTGGCCCTCCGCGGCTGCCGCGCCCACGCGGCCCTCCCAGCGCGCTCTGGTGCACCCGGGCCGCCCCGCACCGGCATTCCTGGACGCGCCGTCCCGCGCGCTTCGATTCCAGGTACTCGGCTCGCGCCGACGCCGCGCCCCCCTCGATCAGAGAAGCAGGAGGTCACGACTTCCAGGATTTTCCAGGTTTGCTGGGATTCCACAGGTGCTGCAGACGCGAGGGCCGCGAGATACTCTGGAAATGCTGGAACGTATTCGGTGCCAATCCTATCATGACATCATTCCCATCCTACCCTGGCGGGAATCGGGGGCGGCAAAGAGGGGGGTGATGACTAGGGGGCGGGATATCATGGCGTGGGCCATGATATTTCCCCAGATTTCATGGCGCCTCTTCTTATTTCATTACGTCCCTGGCCCCCCATTGGGCGGCGCACATGCCGCCGGCCATGAGTTGCACCCCTCCTCTTGGACGCCCCCCTCTTGGCCGCCCCCGAGGGAAGAAACAGGGGAACACACAATGACATTAGCATAACAACTCGGAGGTCGGCGCAGATTCCTGGGAACTGCGTTGGGCCCCCTTGGCGGCGCCTCGAGCGGCGCCCCTGGCGCGCTCCGCGTGCCAGGGAAAGGGGTCCAGCGGGGATACAAGAAATCTGCGCGGTCCTCCAAACGCTTATGTTGATGCTGTTCTTATCCCCATCCCGATCGAGGGAAGAGACACGACGAGCATGACCAAGATGCCGCGGGATCTTTTCGACACCGACCTTGGTCATGGTCCATGCCCACCGTCGCCGATTCGTGAGGATGTTCCACGTTTTTATGACGACCACGATGGACGATGACCAAGATTGGCAACGACATTTCCGAGTTCAGTCTTGGTCGTGGACATCGTTTTCCTGTCCTCCGCGCCCAACTCCTCCATTCGAGTAGGGAACCGATTACATAATGGATTTACCCAAAAATTGATGTTTTGTTCGACTCTACGAAAAACGCGTCTCATGTTCACGTATGCATATACGAGCATTATACGTATTCTGCTGTAGATCCGACGAGGAAATCAAGTGTGGAGTCAATCAACTTCGTAGTCGATCCCCTACTCGATCCCTGCCCTCCCTCTCCCCATCCTGACTTCCCCACCCTGCCCTGTCCTCCCTTTCCCCACCTAGTCACGACTGGAGGGCTTTCGCCATGTCCTGCCTCTGGGGGGCAGGACAGTCAACAAAAGACATTCCGGGATGAGAGTTCGGTCTTTGGCAAGGGGTGCAGACCTCTGGGGAGTCACATCGCGAAACAAAAACACGCGACGTCGGATGGTTGGGAATATCGGGCGGGGCCAGGACAGGCATGAAGCGATCCAGAGCGAACCGGAACGCTTTCAGAGTGCTCCAAAGCGCTTTGGAAAGGCCGCGCCGCCCGATGCATCCTCCAGAACCCGCGGATCTCAGAGATCTCCGATTGCGAAGGCCTTACGGCCAGTGCCGCCGACCCTGAAGACGACGAAGATGAAAACGAGCGGAGGGGGGGGTAGGAGGCAGGAGGAGGAGGAGGAGGAGGAGGAGGAGGAGGAGGAGGAGGAGGAGGAGGAGGAGGAGGAGGAGGAGGAGGAGGAGGAGGAGGAGGAGGAGGGGGGGGGAAGAGGAAGGGTGGAGGAGGCGGATGAGGGAGGAGGAGGGGGGGAAGGATGAGGAGGAGGAGCAGGAGGAGGAGGAGGCAGAGGAGGAGGAGGAGGAGGAGGGACAAACATCGTGACGCAGGTTCTTCTTCGTTTTCTGCCTCCAGGGGCCCTCCTCCGGGCTTCGGGGCAGTCAAAAGACGGCTCGAGGTGAAGAACTGGCCCTGGCGAATTGTTCCACAGCTCGGGTGCCTGAGTCTCGAAAACATCCAGACGCCAGCTGTCTCTCGGGTTGGAGGGGTAACGTCACGATTCACGCTGGCGCCGTCTTGGACTGCATTGGGATGGCTAATTTTCAGATGGTGCCCGCGCGGATCGTGACGTGACCAGGGAGGGAAGGGGGGGGGCCGGGGCCGATAATTGGCATTATCGCGAATCGTAAACACTTTGCTCTAGACCGCCATTGCCGCGTTTACCGCTTCGGTTGCCCTCGAATGAGACGACAATCACTGCCCGTCGGCAGAGAAGCCAGCCTATCCAACCCACTCCCCGACCAGATGGCCATCCCCAAACCGATGCTGTCTCCATGGCTGTGCATCTCATTTGCAGCTGTCTTATCGCGTGATGGATTCCATTTCCATTGTGACCACTCAGAACGTGGAGACAGTGACAGTCCCGGCCAACTCATATTGGGCTCATTTTTCTCAGTCTATTTGTATTTGGACAGTGTCGGCTACTCACGACGCTTTGATATGATATACATCAAGGGCAGGTGGTTGCGGTGGCGAGTGCGGTTCCGTAGGGTTACCCCGTGACATGCGGTGATTTTGCCTTACTTTCACCGCCCCTGCGTTCACGGCCCTAGATAATATGTGCGTCGCGACGTCACGCGTTGAGTTCATGTGCGTGAGGGCCCCGTCAGATTCGGATATGAGCTACGCGGCGTGTAGGTTCGAGCCCCCTGAGTGCGCTTTAGGGAACGGCCATGAATTCCGAGTTCCCCTGCTGGCGCATTGGCAGCAGTCGCCCTCGCGGCGAGCTCAGAAAGCAGCCGCCGTGGGAGCGGAGCGCCTCGAGCAGGTGTTCGCTCGTGTTGTCAACCGACATTTTCTCGAAAGACTCACGTTGACAACCGTAGCCGGCTTGCTGGGCGTAAGTGGTTCAGAGAGTTCATTCTTACAGCGCCATGTGTTTCCCGTCGGGGAGGGGTTTTCCCATCCCCTCAGCCCTCATCGGAAGAGTGTTTCCCCTCGCCTGGCGAAGCCTCTGGGGGGCCGCTTTTGCGGTTCTCTTGGGGCCCTCTTGGGGCCCTCTTGGGTCCTCTACGGAGCTTTGGGGGCTGTTTTGGCGCCAGCGGCGCTTGCCATTGCTGGCTTTGTCGAGATTTGGAGTGGTTTGGGTCCTTCTCGGGCTTCCCTGGGGCCCTCTTGGGGGCCTCTGGGTCCGTCTTGGGCCCCTTCAGGACTGGCGTATCAGTTGGGCACTCTGAGGCAATCTGGAGGCCTCAAGAGCGATTTGCGAGTAGAACGGTGAGACGGGCAATCGACTTGATTGTCCATCGGTTTTGGAAGATGTTGGCCTCTTGCGAGCCCTCTCGGGGCGTCTTCGGGACATCGGTTGCTGACCAGAAGGCTGCCTTGGCGTATCAAGCAAGGTCATTTCTCGTCCTGTCGCATCGTAGATTACCTTGTCTGGCCTAGTCTTGTATGGTTGTCTTAGGCAGTCTCGGCGACGTCTTGGTTCGTCTTGGATTCCGTGTCACACTGGTGCCGTCGCGCCCAGGGAATGGAGTGAAGTCCTTCACTTGGGATCGGGACCAGGGTTTCACGAGGTGACAGGGGGTCCGTTTTAGCCCAAGACGGCTCCAACAGGGCTCCAGACAACCCGCGATGGAGGATGACACAATATGCCTCAATTTGGTCTCCGTCGCAACATGGCTCCAAGTGGCAGCGGAGCTTCCCACGATCGGCCCAGCGAGCTCAGCACCATTCAATCATGAAGTGTCGTTCGACTTTTGTCTTGTCGCCTTTTCGTTTCTGGCGGCCAAGCGATGCCTCGCGATGGGTCCAATATCGCCCCAGTCAGCTCAACGAGGAAGCCAGCAAGGGTTCCAGTCGGGCCGAATAGCGCCCACGTGCGCCCCGAGAGCGCTCCGAGAGGGCATCAAGAGGCGATTTCTATGACTCCGACAGGGGTAGGCAAATTAGTGCTGCGCCCCTTCGTTCAACGCCACAATGATTTTAGCCGTTCGGGGGCATCCTTGGGAGGCTTTTGGGCCAGTATGGCTCCCATATGGCTGCAGACACTGGTGGCCTCCAAGATGGCGCAGCATTGTCCAAGCTGGCTTAATATTGTGCGTGCCTTATATTAGGCCCCAAGACGGCGACTGATCCAAGTGGCCTCAGATCTTTCCAAAGATACCACCGAAGGGCCAACATCATGTCGACGACTACAGTTTTTCAGTCAGTTTGGCCTTGCCGTCGTTTTGCTTCCGACGGGCTTTGAGGTCTCAATCTGGTCCCAAAACCCCCCAAGATAGCCACAGGAGGACGGCCTGGAGAGCGCCCCATCATGGTCACAAGAGGTGCTTGAGCTCCGACGAGCCGGCGCTGAGGGGGGACCCATTTTGTCGGACCGACGTCCGCCAAAAGAGAGCCCAACATATTTCCAAATGTGTCCGAGAAGGCGCCATTAGTATGACCCATTGAGCTTCCAAGAGACTCCCACATCGAACGATCCGCGAAGTCAATGATGATGGACTCCTGGACATGCTCAGGCTCATCCGACCTTTCGGTTCGGCGTCTGCCCCCCTTTTAGCTCCACTGCTTGCTCTTAAATCTTACTGGTCGAAGCAGCTCGGCTGTTTGAAATACGGGAAACGTCAAGAGTTGAAGAGACAAGCAAGAAAACGTCCTGCGCGCCTCCCCGCGCCGCTTGCGTTGGAGACTTTGGGCCCCGGCGAGCCGCCACGATGTCGACTCGTGCCGCGCTGCACTGTGTGTGCTTGTCCCCGCGGCCCCCGGATCTCTGCCCCCGTCTGGGTCCGGCGTGGACAGCCTCCCAGTGAGTCAAGCCGAACAAGAGAAGACGGCATTCCATCAAGTGGGGCTCAGGAGGGGCTCTGGGGTTGGTCTTCGGGCCGCTCCTCAGATCTAGATCGGGGAACCTCTTCGTGGCCGATGCTGGCCGTGGGCAGAAGGGCCCCTGTGTTCCTAGTGCTGTGTCCCTTCTGGTAGCACGATGGCTGTACACAGAACTCTCTGGAGGTCCGAAGGATTTTTTTCGGCTGGCGCTGGATGGACACCCCCGGCCCCATCGTGCCTCCAGCGCTGCCCCATGGCGCGCTCCGCGCTACAGCAGTGGCGGGGTCCAGCGCCAACCAGAGAAATCCTCGCGGACCTTTGACAGGATGTATGAGTTGCCCCTGCAGGTGTTCCACCACGTATAGAGAAGATCACGATTCTCTCCCTCGCCCCCCCATTCTCCTCCACGTCGTCGTCTTCGCCGCCCTCTCCTGTTCATCCCGCAGCACTTGGAACGCACAGCTCCGCTCTGCTACGCCTCGTCGTGCTGCCCCCCCGTCCCGCTCCCAGTCCATCTCCTTTCTGGAGGGTCCCAGGCCTCTGGCAATTGGCGGCGGAAGAAGGGCGACAGGATGTTGTACAACATCGGCAGGCAATCAGGGTATATCTTTGGCGCTCCAGCACTAATCTCATCACAGCGCCCTGGTGTGCCCCTCTTGCCTGGCCCATCTTTCGGGAGGATCCCCGCCTCTGCCAATGGGCGGCGGAAGAAGGGCGAAAGGACCTGGTAAAACATCGAGGGGGCTCAGGGTATACCCACGGCGCTCCAGCGCCAGCCTTACCGCATCACCCTGGTGTTGTGCCCCGCGAGGGTGCCGTGCGGATTGCAGTCTGCGGCAAAAAGGCGAGTCCGCAGTTGCCCGCGGTAGAGATGGCAGGGAGGAGTTGCTGTCATTTGCCGTTGATGTTATGAGAAGAGGAGGAGGAGGAGGAGGAGGAGGAGGAGGAGGAGGAGGAGGAGGAGGAGGAGGAGGAGGAGGCAGAACGTGGGGAAACAGAAGCAGGAGTTGGAGGAGGAAAGGGGGAAGAGATGGAGCTAGTTGCTGAGGACGTTGTGGAGGCGGAGGAGGAGGTTGCGGGGGATGAGGAGGAGGTGGGAGTGGATGGTTGGGGGAAGGGGGAGGGCAGCGGATGAGGGGGAGGGAGGGAGTCGGGTGTCCAGTTGCGTGGATGAGACTCGGGCGCACCCCGCGCCGCGCGAGCCGCTTGGGCCGAGCGCAGAGCGGCGTTCGATCGAACGCCGCTCTGCGCTCGGCCCAAGCGGCTGTCCTCATGCTGCTCGAACGATCGTGGTTGTCCTCCTGCTGCTTATCGATCGTGGTTGTCCTCCTGCTGCTCGAACGTTCGAGCAGCAGGAGGACAACCACGTACCCAATAGGACAAGAAGAAGGATGGAGGAGGAGGGGCGGCAATGACGACGACGGTGCTGACTTCTGGAGGCCTCCAGAGGTCCCCAGAGTTCTTTGTTTTGTTCTTCCCAGAGGCCTCCAGCGGTTTAACCATGGCCATTTGCCATGGTCCAGCAAGGTTGCCCTTGCGTCCCAGCCTCGGTCGTGTTCTGAGATATCGGAGTTGCTCGGCCGGATTGCGTGCACTCGTTCCGACTTAGACGTCCTCAGGGTCTTGGATTTTTGTCTTGGGTCTCTCCAGGGAATATGATTGTGAGGCTGGAGTTTCCACTCTAGACGCTTCGCGTAATCCCACCAGCACATCCAGAAACGATGCCCAGACGATTGGAATGCGGAGGAGCATGCAGTGGATTAACAACCTGGGTAATTAAGACGTTGTACCCTAAATGGGGAAGAATGGAGGATTAATCGAAAGAGCAGGAGGAGGAGGAGGAGTAGGAGGAGAAGGAGAACGGAGGAGGTGGAGGGGGATAATGAAGGAGGAAGGAGGAGGGGGAGGAGAAGGAGGAGGAGGAGGTGGAGAAGGAAGAGGAGGAGGCGGGCGAGCAGAAAGGCCATAGGCCTCTTAGATGCTTCTTGGAGTCCTCTTGGGATGTCTTGGGGGTCGCTTGGCAGTCCCCGGTGCCTCGTGGGGCGTCTTGGGTGCTTCTGGGGGGCCCGTCTTGGGAGTGTTTTGGGAGCCTCTTGGAAGCATCTTGGGGGCCTCTTGTGGGCCTCTTGGGGCCGCCTGGGCACCTCTTGGGGCTGTCTTGGGGCACCCTTGGGAGCTTCGGGGGCCATCTTGGGGCCATCTTGGAGGAGACATTGATGGGGCCGTAGTACATGAGGGCCCCAGCCAGGAGGCCAACATGTTGTCAAGACTTTGATAGAAACAGTGTTCTTAGTCTTCTCGCCGAGGCCTCTTGGGTGTCTCTAGGGAGCCTCTTGGGGCCGCTTGGGGCCTCCTAGGCACCTCGGCCGTCTTGGGGTACCCTTGACGAAGCTCGGGGGCCATCTTGGGGCTATCTTGAAGGAGATCGATTAAAGGAGGAGGGGTCCGTAATCAGGTCCCCCCCCCCAAGAGACCGGCGTGTGGCCAACACAGAAGTCATCTCAATGTTTTGGTCTTTTCGCCGAGGCCCCTTGCGGCGTCTTGGTGCCTCTGGGGGGCCCGTCGTGGGAGTGTCTTGGGAGCCTCTTGGAAGCATTTTGGGGGCCTGTTGTGGGCCTCTTGGGGCCGCCTGGGCACCTCTTGGGGCTGTCTTGGGGCACCCTTGGGAGCTTCGGGGGCCATTTTGGGGCCATCTTGGAGGAGACTTGTTTGGCGCCGTAGTACATGAGGCCCCCCCCACCCAGGAGGCCAACATGTCGTCAAGACTTTGTTAGAAACAGTGTTCTTAAATTTCTCGCCGATGCTTCTTGGGTGTCTCTAGGGAGCTTCTTGGGGCGTCTTGGGGCCTCCTAGGCACCGCGGCCGTCTTGGGGTACCCTTGACGAAGCTCGGTGGCCATCTTGGGGCTATCTTGAAGGAGATCGATTAAAGGAGGAGGGGTCCGTAATCAGGTCCCCCCCCCAAGAGACCGGCGTGTGGCCAACACCAAAGTCATCTCAATGATTTTGGTCGTTTCGCCGAGGCCTCTTGCGGCGTCTTGGGTGCCTCTGGGTGGCCCGTCTTGGGAGTGTGAGCCTCTTGGAAGCATCTTGGGGGCCTCTTGTGGGCCTCTTGGGGCCGCCTGGGCACCTCTTGGGGCTGTCTTGGGGCACCCTTGGGAGCTTCGGGGGCCATCTTGGGGCCGTCTTGGAGGTGATCGGTCAAACGAGGGCCGTAGTACATTAGGCCCCCCCCCAAGAGACCAATATGTGGCCAATACCCTTAGTGAAGTCAATGATGTCGACTTCCTCGCCGAGGCAGTTTTGGACGCTGTAACCCCTGGCGACTCGCCCCCTCAAGACCCAGGGGTAGGGGCGGGGGGGGTAAACCCTTCCCCGAAGGGGAAGAGGGGGGTTGGGAGAGGAAACTCTCTAAACCACTCACGCCCTAAAGGGCTGGTGGTTTTCTCGCAGGTTAGATGGCCATTCCGCTTGCCCCACCTAGCCTCGGCACACTGGTGACACGCCTATGGCGAGGCAAGCAGTCACTGTAATTGCGTTGCTCACAGGTACGTTGTGCTCGCAGGCTCACTGCGGTGCTCACAGGCTGTTATTGGTCCTCCGAAGGCCTCCAGAGAGTCAGAAGCCTCGTGGGGCCTCCAGAAAGACCTCTGATGGCCTCCAGAGGCGTCTGGACTACGTCGCCATCATCGTCTTCGTTCTCGTTCGTCGTGGTCGTCATCGTCGTCGTCGTCGTCAGTCGTCGTCGTCGTCGTCGTCGTCGTCGTCGTCGTCGTCGTCGTCGTCGTCGGGTGTCGTCGTCGTCGTCGTCGTCGTCGCCGCCGCCGCCGCCGCCGCCGTCGTCAGCGTCGTCGTCGTCGTCGTCGTCGTCGTCGTCGTTGTCGTCGTCGTCAGGAAGTTGTCGACGTCGATGTTGTCGTCGTCGTCAGGCAGTTGTCGACGTCGATGACGCGAGCCAAACTTGCACGGGCGCCGCCGCCACAACTTCCGCCGCCCCCCCCCCTAGGGTAACAGACATTCCCCCCCGGGGAACAAAACACGTTGTCCCGTATGCGCAGAGCAGTACATTATGCTTACTTGATATTCTGGTTCTGCTGGTGTCTGGTCTCCTGCCTCCAGGGGTAATTTCAATCCTTGGGCCCAGAAGACTCGCCCCCCTCCTCGGGACCTCTCGTTCCGGATGATCCTCTGATGGCCCCCGAGGCCGACATTGCAGCAGTACACCCGAAATGCGCGGATCAATCCTTTGGGGGTCTCAGAAGCATCGTCAGGAGTCTTGCGACAACTGGAAGCCCCTCTCGGGCGTCTTCCGGGCCCGCGCGCGTGTGCCCCCGTGCGCCTTGGCAGCACGCATTTCCCCGCGGCCCCCGCCGCCGCCTCGGGCGATGGCCTAGGAGCTCTGGCGACTTAGTCGCACGCTGCAGCTCTGAGGCTCCTGGCCGCCGCGGCCGCTGCCGACGCCACGAGCCTTGGCTGCCGTCGTGCGGGCCGCTGCCGCCGGCTGCCGCCGCCGCCGGCTGCCGCCGCCGCTGCTGCCGCGCGACGTCTTCGTGGCCCCGCCTCGGCCCCACCGGGGAGGAGGAGGAGGAGGAGGAGGAGGAGGAGGAGGAGGAGGAGGAGGAGGTAGACAGCGAGGAGGTAGGGGAGGTAAAGAGGAGGGCGAGGAGGAGGGCCGGCGCCGGCGCCGCATTCTGGACGGCGCCCAGGAATGGGCACGCCTAGCCTCGACTACGAGTCAGAGTTACCATTCGCCAGGGTGACGTATGGTGCGGGTCTGCAGGGGCCCACAGTGGTTTGCGCGCTTCGCTTGACACCGCGCACCAAAAGTCGGGTGTTCCTAGAAGTGTCCCTGGTCCAAGGTGGCCGCAGGATTTCCGAGGAGGCCCTCACGGCCTCCAGAGCACCCCTCACGAGGCCCAGTGGGCTCCAGGGGGCCCAAAACAGAGAGAAAAGCTTGGGGCATTATGGGCCAGGGGCACCTTCATCACCGCCCGCATAGGCATTTTTGCGTGTGGTCGAAGTTCCGCCTGTGTCTCGCAGCTTACGCAAGTGATATCGAGTCGCCAGGAGAGGTAGAGGGCTCCTGACGGCAACGGGTCCTAGACCCTGGGGCTTTCCAGAACGAGTTCGCCGTCCTGAGGCCTTTTTGTGTACGGTCCTGCTGGCCGTGGAGGGCCCCATGGGCCCTTTCCTCCAGGACCCCTTTTCCCCAGGATCCGCCTCTTGCCTGCTATATATATGTATAACATACTTTTATATATATATATATATATATATATATATATATATATAGATATATATTGTGTGTATATATATATAGATATCTGTATATATATACATATTCACATTTTTATATATATATATATCGGAGGTGAGGGGGTGAGATCGAAGTGGAACGCAGAGCCCCCTTACCGGGAAATCGGTTTCGGTTTCGTGTTCGTGCGTGCCGTGCGTGCGGGCGAGGCGAAGCTGCGTGGGCGGGCGAGAAGAAAGTCTCCTCCGGCTGAGGCGTGGCTGGACCAAATGTTTCCTGTCCGGGGGCCGGTGGCGCGCGGTGTCCCGCTTCCGGCTGAGGCGCGGCCGGACCAAATGTTTATTGACCTGGGGCCGGTGGCGCGCAGTGTCCCGTCAGTGTCCCGCCGGTGTCCCGTCGGTGTCCCGATGATGATGATGATGATGATGATGATGATGATGATGATGATGATGATGATGATGATGATGATGATGATGATGATGATCATGATGATGATGTCGATGATGCTGATGATGATGATGGTGATGGTGGTGATGATGATGGTGTCCCGATGATGATGATGTTGATACTGTTGATGATGATGATC